CCATTATCAGCTATTACATTGTTGTTAATGCAAGTGCCAAAAATGAAAGTTACATATAAGTGAGAATGTTTAATCAAGTATATCATTATATAAGAATGCAATACAGGTAAATCAGACGGAGTTACCTAACACATCAACAACCCAATACTTGTTGCATGTCCTTTGGGAAGGGTTTCGTGGTCTTGGATTTGAGTCCTCAGGTTGACGACCAACTGATTCAGATTGAGATACTGCTGGTGTAGGTTGAGCAGATGAAGATGCACCATGTGTAGGAGCAGATTCAGCAGATTGAGCAGAAGGAACTTGTTGGTGGACCACTATGTGATGTGGCTAACTATTCAGTTCTTCAGTCGAAAGTTGCAAGTTTATGTTCTGTTCTTGTTCATTGCTTATGAGTTCATTAGCATTGGAGGTTGTCGAGTTGGTCCTTTTAGTGAACCTCTTTGTACATGCCATTGTCCTGCTTACATAAGAATGTTTGCAAGCTTACATATTTTTGCTTGCAAATAACTTTGATAAGTTGTTTATCACAAAAAATGATGTAGTGATGTGAACAAAAAACACCACTTAATCTTAAGCACAATACAATACCAAAAAAAACTGTAATCTGCTCAAGTTATAACTATATTCAGGCAAAGTATTATGATATTTCCATTTCTTCATCCTCGTTTAGATTAGCAAGGACAGTTGGATTGTCATCATCCGTGAAAGGTCCTGATAATTGTAAAGGTGTTGTGTCATCGACATCAACCTGATCCAAGTTCTGTGATGGAAATTGGCCAGTCCATGTCATAACGTCTTCACCCATATCATACAAGTCTCGTGGCTTTACATGAACTGGAATGCTCCAACCTTTTTCTTTCTCATCATCAACATAAAACACCATTTGAGCTTCTGAAGCTTTAATATATGGCTCATCATCTTCTTTTTCACCAGTATGTATTAGTTTTGAAAAGTTAACTTGCGCAAATCCCATTTTATCTTTCTTTAGCCCTCTTTGAGTAGTGGTATCAGCCCATTGACATTTAAACAAAGCCACTGTGAATAAACCATTGTAATTAATCTCTATGATGTCAATCAATTTACCATAATAAGGAACCCCCCCCCCCCCACATATCATTTGGCCATCTTTACTACTTGAGTAGCTTCTAGTGTCAAACGTCCTATAAACCCCACTATTTTGTGTTTTCAGGTTGTTGTCTCTTTCTAAGGTTCGAAACTTAATGCCATTTACATTTTATGCATTAAACCTTCTAGCTTCATAAAATGGACCTTTAGCAAGAGAAAGCATGATAGCTACATCTGATTCCTCAATATTGTTGATATCTACAATAATCTAGACAGACAAATGTATTAATGATAATGTTTAGAATTTTATATAAATTATTACACTAAAGGTGTATCTAATCTTTCCTAGTTAACTCACTCGTTTGGAGAACCAATCTACAAACTCTCTATGAACCCGCTTATCTATCTCTGCTTGACTTCGAGTAGTCCTCCTTAGTTGCCTCTTAACATCTGTCCTAAATTCCCTAAATAAAAACATCATTTAAATCTTAAAAACCTAATAACTTAAACAATGACAAGAAATTGTTAGTCAAAAACCTAGGTACTTACTGAAGATATTTTTCAACAAGTGGGCAATTGGTAAGCACATGTCTATGTGCTTGTAATCTTTCCATGTTAGTGAGATTGCAAAATGTTGATGCACCAATTGGCTTACCTACTTTGGGGAAAAAAAACATCAATGCGCGTTTGAGGCTGTATATCATCATGAGCATCATCAACACGTCTAGGTCGATTTCACCGAGTCTCAATATTGTCCAAGTACCTTAAGCAAAAAGTTAAGATCTCTTGCATAAGGTAACCTTCTGCAATTGAACCTTCTGGTTGTGCCTTATTATGAACATATGATTTTAATTGTCCCAAATACCTTTCAATAGGATACATCCACCGATAGTGAACCGAACCTCCAAGCTTAGCTTCGTCAGCAAGATGAACAATCAAATGAATCATGACGGTGAAAAATGAAGGGGGAAATAACATTTCTATATGGCATAGGGTTAGCACAACTTGACGTTGTATATTATCCAGCTCCGGAACACTCAACACCTTACCACATAGTTGCTTGAAAAATGAGCATAATTCAATCAAAATGCTACATACATTATCAGGCAATGATATTCTCGTAGCCAATGGTAGTAGTTGCTCCATCAATATGTGACAATCATGACTTTTCAACATCCCACTCACTCGCATAGAATCAACATCAATGCACCTAGATATGTTGCTTGCGTAACCATCAGGTACAGAGATATTCCGCAAAGTCTTTAGAAAAGCCTTCTTCCCTTGATTGGTCATTGTATACACTGCTAGAGGATATTTTCCATTGTCATTTGGCCAAAGGTCAGTCCTGCAACCCATTCTTTGTAGATCTCTTCGAGCACTTAAATGATCTTTTGATTTTGAAGAATCATTAAGCAACGTGTAAATGATATTATCGCATACATTCTTCTCAATATGCATCATGTCAAGATTGTGGCGCAATAAATTATGTCTCCAATATGGAAGGTCAAAGAATATGCTCTTCTTTTTCCATTGTTGGGCATTCCCTTGTGCATCACGATCACCAACTCGGTTCCTTTTCCCTCTTCTGCTAACTTCGGGTGGTCGACCAAAGGTAACATTAACATGTTGAAGCTGTTCAAGGATTTCACAGCCAGATAATATCCTTGGAGGATTGCGCAGCTCCTGTTTACCGTTAAATCGAACCTTGTTCAATCTAAACCGATGTCTTTGTTGAAGAAAACGTCGATGGCCCATAAAACACCACTTCTTACTATGATAAAGACGAGTGGGTTCAAAGTCAAAGTTGCATACTGGGCATGCTAACCCAGTATGTGTGTTCCACCCAGATAGATTACCAAGACCAGGAAAATCACTAATTGTCCACATTAAAGCTGCACGTAACTTAAACATGTCCCGTGTCGAGGCATCATAAGCATCTACACCTTCGTTCCACAATTCAAGCAACTCTTTCATCAACGGCTGTAAGTACACATCAATATCATTTCCAGGCATTTTTTTGCCCGGTATAATCGTTGATAGAATAAATGATGTGGACTTCATACACAGCCATGGAGGCGTATTGTATGGAATTAGAATAACTGGCCAAACACTGTAACTGGAGCTCATATGCCCGAAAGGATTGAAACCATCCGTAGCTAAACCAAGTCGAACATTGCGTGGGTCCGCAACAAAGGTTGTGTGTAATGAATTAAAATGCTTCCAAGCTTCTGAATCTCTGGGATACCTCAAGGAACCATCATTGTGACCATTTGTAGCATGCCATTTCATGTCTTCAGCGGTCTTTGTAGACAAGAACAATCTTTGCAAGCGTGGTTTAAGTGGAAAATAACGTACAACTTTGGCAGCCACTTTACGCGTGCTATTTCCATGTTGTGGTTCACCTCCTTTGGCACAAGGTTTCCATCTAGATAAAGTACAAACCTTGCAAAATTGCATGTCTACATTTTCCTCACCCCAAAACAACATACAATTTCTTGGACAAGCATGTATCTTCTGGTAATCCAATCCCAACTTCGTAATAGTTTTCTTTGCCTCATAAAATGAAGAAGGAATCTTTGCATGGTCAAATGCATCGTGTATTAGCTCCAATATTAAAGACATCGCCTTGTCACTTATCTTGCACAAACACTTGATATGATATAACTTCACAATAAAAGAAAGCTTTGAATATTTCTTACTCCCTTCATACAACGGTTGTTCTCCATCTTTGACTAGTTCATAAAATTCTTTGCCTCCATAATTTTCTTCATGTCCATCATTTGTCGTGTCTCCACTGTTTTGCTGCCAATCCACCCCAAAAGCATCATTTACCATGTTGCGTATTGGATCCTCATGGATTACGTTGTCTTCCACTCCATGTGATACATTTGCATCACTGGAATTACTGCTTTCTCCAATACGTGACTCTCCATGAAAAACCCAAAAAGTGTAACCTTCAGGAAATTTGGAGCATAATAAGTGGTCATTCACTATTTCCTTTGGCTGCCACTTTCTAAAACCACAACGTGAACAATGGCATAATATCAAACCCTCAGCAGAGCTGTGTGTGACCGCAAAATCAATAAAACCTTGAACGCCTTGTTGATATTCAACAGTATTTCGTGGTTGTGCAATCCATGATTTGTCCATCGACACTGAAAAAACCATATTTTTGTGTCAAATGACCCTGTTTAAAAGCAGGGTATTACGTATATGAAAACCATATAGTTTAGGTTCTGTACTCAGGGTGTGGGTTTTGGTCTAACGAATACCAAATATGGTCTTACTGTTACAGAAAGAGAAAATAAATTAAGCTAACCTAATGCACCATTATGATGCTAACTTAATGCAGCCTTATGCTGCATTAGAAATAATTACTTGTCCAACACATAAGAAAAATAAAATAAAAATTCAAACACTGTTATAATTACATCATTGATGTACCACATAACGATATTTTACTCATCATTTACACAATCATGCCAAACATGGAAGCAAACTTTTAATAATTTACAACGAATACAAGACATACCACACAAATCTTTATCTTCCTGTGGTTGACTGAAGAAGATACTTCACAAAGGTAACGTAAGCCCAAAGGTAAACTCTATAAATAGGAGCTAAAGATCATAGGTATGACTCATCTCTCTGAACCCTATTTTATGCAATCACACAACACACACACCCCCCTGGCTAAGGCCATTATATCGTGTGTCGTGATTCGCTGCTCCTATGATACCTAATTCATAGGTATCTAGAGAGAAAGCACTAGATCCAACATCAACCATATAATCTCTGGTTAGACATCTCTGCCTCAGGCAGAACAGTATGAATTCAAAAACATGTTAAAGTCTTTTTCATCCATTTTTTGAGGGATCAAATCAAAGATTTCATGAGCTTTTGCAAATTAGAAAATACTTTCTTTCTCCCTCCCTTTTCATTTTTACATGGTTTCTAATATTCTAGGAACATTAAATTAACACTTGGAAATTTGTTTATAAGATTAAAACATGTTAAAAAAAACCATCATCTATCTTTGAAAGATCTATATAAAGATTTCATGCACTTCAAATATGCAAATTGAAAATCACTTTGAGCTTATGCAATGTAATGTCATATATACCTTAACATATAAATCTAAGTCGTAAAGATATATTTTTTCTAAGGGTCTTGGACTTAGTTTCGTACATTGATTCTTAAATATTGATTCATATCTAACTTTGATGTTTGACTTGTCAAATATGACAATTCTTTGACATTTTGTTGGATTTGATCTACTTATTTTTATTTTTATTTTTCGTAAACAATTTGATCTACTTTTACCATGGCTTGTGACATCAAACTTCTCTTGAAGTTTGTCCTTGTTTTGTTGTCATTGATCTTAGTTTTTCTCTTCTTTTTCTTCATAGTTGCTTTTGATCCAATGCTCTTTTATCTTTCTTCCAACTCACCCATCTTCTTGTCACTTTGTTTTCTCATCATTTTTCTTGTGTGGCTCCAATATATATATTCAATCTTCATACATGATTCATGCTTCTTGCTCTTCATTAAAGTTCTTCCATTTTTATTGTTGCAGCTTTGTTATCATCAAAAGACATCTTATATCTACAATATATAATTCTTTAATCATTTAAACTCAAAACTCATCCCTCATGAAAAATGCTTTTTTTTTTTTGCACAATCCAAATTCCTCCAAGTAATCCTTAACTTTATGTTCAAAAATATTTTTGAAAAAGAGAATTTTGATTTGAAAGATGTTAGAATTGATTTTGGCTTAAAAGTTATTTTAAAGCTAAAATAATTTATTATGCCATGTAAATAATTACTTACTGAACTTCTTGATAAAATCCTAATCTCTAATATTATAGGTTTATTACCATGAAACAAAGATTGATGTTGTTTGAGAAATGATTATCAAACTATATAAACTAATATTGTTTTTTTCAATCAGACTCAAAATAAAGGAAGAACAAAATGATTCCCCAAATAATCAATTCTTTAAATGTCAAAAAGCAATTATAATGGCTAACTTTGCATTTAGCAAAAGCCCAATGACCCCAAACAACTATGAATAGAAAAGTATACATACATGACTTGGAAATATTTATTATAAATGTTGAATAACATGACGAAATTCGAACTAAAATACATTTTTTAAAAACAATGCACTAAAATCCATCCAATCATTCCATACTCTTAAACTTAGTCATATTATACCCATTGATTTTCAAGTTGTATTATTCAACACTTTCGAGAATGCAATCTTACTTTTTCGTCGCTAAGTAAAGAGTGTGAAATGTCCCTTTAGATAAATTTAGGATGAGATATCCTTAAAGAAAAGGCTCAAAAACCTTATATAAGGCATCCCAAAGGTTGTTAAAGTGCACAAAAACTGTCAGTTCTTAATTAAAGCTTGCATATCATAATGATACTTGATTAGCTCAATAATTCCGGGACAACTCATGTTCAATTCACATTCTTTGGCTTGGTTACTTAGAGATTGGAGACTCCTTCTAGGTTACAACAGAATGCTTCTTCAAGTGTTTTGGGAAACACGTGGGAGTGGGTACCTGCACGGCAATTCACACTCAAATTAGTGCATGAAAAATGTATGTACTTAAGTATTGGGTCCCAATAGGGACGAAGGGACCTGCTTTGGGGCTTGAATCACCTGCCTCTGAAGGAGATGATATCAATTCCTTTGATTGGCTAAGTGAGAGGTTTCCGAGATACTGGCATTGCCTCTGGGAAGCCTATTTGTGAACTAGTGGTCATAAGTTGTGTTGTAATCACGTTCCTGTCATCTCGCTATTGGCTTGTGGAGTCAGTGCCAACCTTGACAATTGACTGAGGTGTTTGTGCCAATCTTCTAAACTGCTCCGCCTGCTTGTTGGGTTTATTCTCCAAGTTATGGTCTTTATAAATAGGGAAAAGCAAACCTCATGTTAGAGGCAATTTTTGTTTCCTCCTATCGTTTTTCGTGCAAATTTTTTTCTTCATTTTTTTTTGGGGAAAATATACTCTTATGTTATACGATAATATTTTTTTCTTTTATACATGCATCGATTTTCATATTACTTTTTTATCTTCTTTTTTTTATAGTGGATAGATCCCCACACATGATTGTGTCTATAACATGAAAGAATTTCTCTCTTATTACATGAGATTAATAAAACCTTTTTTTCTAATATTTGGTGGACCCTACAAAAACATGTCTCTGTAACATGATGTATCAATTTTCATGTTACATGACATTTACAAAACCCAGATAAATATTTACTTACGCTTTTGTGGTGAATTAGTTTTTTACATGGTATCATAGTCTCAGTGTCGCGGATTCGATCTTCACCGCCTCTCAATTTCTCTTATGAAATTTTTTAGTACAGTTAAGTGGGCTTGTGCAATATCCACATTTCATGCCCAATGGGCTCTCATGTGAGAGGGCGTGCTAGATAAGTATATAAATTATTGATGGATCTTCACTTAATAACTTTTTTGGGTTGAATTGGTTCTTTACAATAAAGAAACAATTCAACACAAAAATTTAAACGACATTTCATGTCCAATAGGCTCTCATGTTGAAGGCGTGTTAGAGAAGTATATAAAACATTGATGGACCTTCATTTAATAGTTTCTTTTTGGTTGAATTAGTTCTTTACAATAAAGAACATATTCAACACAAAAACTTAAGTGGTTGGGTGAGGTTACATTAATGGTTTTATATTTGTCTAACACGCCTCATTACGCTAGAGTCATTTTGGCTTGAAGTGTTAATATAGCACAGGCCCATTTTTTTAATACATTGTGTTTTTCTTAATTCTACCTGAAAATGGGGAGTTGAGAATCGAACCCTTAACACCGAGACTCTAATATGATGTAAAAAATTAATTTAACCCAAAAGTTAACTTTTTGGTTAAATTAGTTCGTCTTATTTACTTTATAAGGGGTAAAGACCAAAGAACTGGACCCTTTATACTGGGTCACTTAGGTTAGCAATAAGGGTGTTCGCGGTCTGGATTGGATCGGTTTTGAAAGTAAAAATTATCCGATCCAATCTCTTCGGTTTGATCATGTCATCATCCATTCGGTTTGGATTTTTTTCAAATCCGATCCGATCCAATCCAATCCACTTTTTTTCGGTTTGGATTGGATCGGTTTTCGGTTTTTTGAAAATCTTAAAATTTGCTTTATGGTTATTGTGCAAATAACATTTTTTGTATAATAGGCTTTGTAAAAAAAAAATAAACAGAAAAGTAAATGATAATATAGTTTTTTTTTCTGCAATGAGATATGAAGCTTTACACAAATAATTTTTTGTTGATGAGATGTGACTAGGTTTTTCCTTGGGTTTAGTTGATGGGTTAATAGGTCTTGAGTTTAAAAAATTTTGAGCTATGATGGGAGGAAAGACCCAAGTAAGTAGAGGGAAATTAATATATTGGATCGGTTTTCATCAACCCATCCGAAAACCGATCCAATCCGATTAAAATTTGCGGTTTTTATTCAGTTCTCTCGGTTTTTCGATTTTCGGTTTATTCTGTTATCGGTTTTTCGATTCGGTTACCGCGGTTTGAATCGGTTGATAAACACCCCTAGTTAGCAAATAGCTCGAAACCTGAAGATAAATAACAAAAAAATAGTCCGACCAATATAAATCTTATTTGTATCATACTACTCATTGCAATTTTAAATTTTATCACTTTTTTTTAGCTGGATTATATATTGTGGGGAAAATTCTTATCGTTCCCATCTATTCTTGCATACTTTAACAGAATTATTCATTGGTTAATTTTTTAAAATTTTTACAAAATCTTTTAAAACTCAATTTATCCCTTCTTAAATTTCAAGTCAGTTGGTAACAATATGGAAAATGGTTAATAAACCAAGTTAGAATGTACCAAAATTTTAATTTTAATTTAATTTGCTATAGTTGCTTCATAACACAGGTATTCTACCTTGCACGCAACGTTTCTGCCATATTTGGACTCGGTTATAGTCATTCTTTTCATATTTTTTTAGAAAATTTCAACCAAAGTTGCAAAGCTTTTAAAATTTGTTACCATAACTTGATAATATAAATTTAATCAAAATTTTCTTCATTTAGTAATTAAGAAAATTATTAGGAAGACTTTTTAGAATTTTTTTGAATCATTCTTAACTTATGATAATATTGAATACAAGCTATTTATATATATATATATATATATATATATATATATATATATATATGTATGTGTGTGTGTGTGTGAGCTTCTCTTTTTGTTCAAATTATCAGCACAATGCTCCACTCCACCCAATTTGGCAGCGTGTAGTTTAACTAATTGATTGCATTAAGAATGAGAATAAATCATCTCATGCGACAAAAAAATTATCTAAAAAATCTCAATCATTTATATACAAATCATCAGTTATCATTTTCTCTTCATTTATCTTAATAAAATTTTCTCATCGCCCTTGACTCATGTGTATAATATAAACCTGATCTCATTTACTTTCCCATTGTTGAAAACAAAATGTCTTTTAAAAAGAAAGTTTGACATTTTACAATCAAAACTATATGCTCCCTACTCAATTATTTCCCACTTTGGAAAAATGTGTATAACTAAACAAAATCATCATAATAAAAACTACACAGTATAAAAAGGCTTGTGAATATCTCACCATCCAACCAGCACAATAAAAAAAAATCACATCTAATAAGGGACTGATTCAGCCTATTCATTGAACCATATTACTTATCAACCTCAATTTCAAGTGTTTTATTATTATGACTATCATTATTTATACTTGTACAACTCTCTGCCGAGAATGAAGTTGAGATTGATGAGAATTGTGGTGCTGAGGATGGTGAGAATTGCGGTTCTTGGATTTGTCCTGAATAGCATCAATTCCTTCCAATGCCTCCAATACTTCTTTCATAGAAGGACGGTGTTTAGGATCAGATTCTAAGCATTTTAGTGTAAGCTGTGCTGATTGCAATGCTGCCTTGAGTGAATATTGGCCCTCTATCTTTGCATCCATTATGGTTTTCAACTTCCTTTTATTTGAGAGTAAAGGCCTAACCCATTCAACCAGGTTCTGCTGCCCTGTTGGCCTCTTTGTATCAAGTGCTCGCATGCCTGTCATCATTTCTAGCAACACAACACCGAAGCCGTACACATCACTCTTCACGTACAAGTGGCCTGTTCAATAATCACACAATTCCCAGCCATGTTAGTTTGTGGCGACTCACGGGAACGAATCCTCTCATGTCTCTTTTCAATTAGAATGACAAAGCTAAGGGAAAATAATTATTTTAATTGTCGGCCGTTAATCTATCAATATATGGCTCAGATTTTTCAGCATGATGTGATCACATTAAAAAGAGACATGAGAGATTCATTCTCAAGGATTAGATTACACTATTCCTTTTTTTTAACCATGGGTTCCCCAACTTCATCTTCCACAAAACATTGACTGCTTCACTGTTATATTAGTTTTTCCCTTTCTTCTATTCCATTTCCTTCTTTCTTACTTAGCATTTAAATCTTTTGACTAAATGATGCAGTGAGTCATGAATAGAGTCAGAACATACACTATGCTGCTTTAATTGCCAATTATGTGTAGATATAATTACCTGTTGCAATGTATTCTGGAGCAGCATAACCATATGTGCCCATGACCCTGGTAGTTACATGTGAATCTCCCCCGGAAGGCCCAAATTTAGCTAAGCCAAAATCTGATATCTTTGCATTGTAATTCTGTAGAAGACAAAACAACCGGTTAGCAAATGATATGTGGAATTTAACATAAAAAAATTATCAATTTTGTTACCTTAAAAGATAGTGTTTATAACATCAAGTAATATGCTTCGACTATTCAACGGTTCTAATATTAACAGCACTTAGAAAGAGACAATGAAAAAGAAGAAATTGCAATTTTCAGTTGATAGTCTATTCACAGACTAGGTGAAGCTTGCGAACAATTAACCCGCGCCCCTATCCTCGTAAGTCGGAAAGCCTTATGCACCAAGGTTTGTCCTTTAGTTTATCTACAGACTGATTTTTATATAATTATATCTTTTCAGCACGACTTTGGTTAGATATACTACATTTGTTTTAGATTCCATCTCTCAAAATAAGGGAAAAGGAAGACTAAGACAGAAAAAAGAAGTCAACTAACAAAAAATAACTAACCCCATCGAGGAGTATATTTGAGGCCTTGAAATCTCTGTATATGACTTGCTTTTCAGAAGTGTGCAAGAAAGCCAAGCCCCGAGCTGCACCAATAGCTATTTTAATTCGGGTGTTCCAAGAAAGTGGTTCTATGTTAGGATTTCCTGCTTAGAAACACAACCAAGAAAACGAATCAAAACTCAAATCCATGACCAGGAACTTTATTTTCCACATTTTAATTGTCTTTAGTTCATACTTCTGAAGAGATGATTCTCCAAGCTTCCCCTCGGCAAGAACTCATACACAAGAAGAAGCTCGTCATCGTCCCAACAGTAACCCAATAATTTGACCAGGTTGGGGTGAGAGAGCCTTCCCAAAAAGTTGACTTCTGACTGCATTGTCAAATAACAGAAAAACATTAAAAAAAATCAGATAGCTCATTTGTAAACAGTGTAGGATTTATCACATGGGTATTCTGATTTTGCTAATGATTACACTATAAGGTTAAATGCAGTATGAAAACTGAAAGAAATCACAACATGATAGAATGATACACATTTAGCCAAAGAATATCATTACAAATGAGCTTGTTCTTTAGAGCAGAACAAGTTCATCTGATTTTTTCAGCATTGTCAAGAGAACTTTTTTACTATTCGTTTCTAAATACATCTTCAACATATATCCTGGTTCACTGCTGACTTGAAAGAAGAAAACCACACGGACATACTCAAAGCAAACTGATAGACCCCTTTACTGATGTACATGCAATGGGATATGAAGTAGAAGGATAAACACAAGGGGCTGAGAAGGATAACATAGGAAATAAATAGAATACTCAAGTCTTTAAAGTCCAGCCGCAAAGATAAGACTGCGTACAACAATTGGCCTCACCCTTACCCTCGTTAGTCAAGATTTAATAGGGAGTGATTTTAATAAGTCTTTAAGTTCAGAGCATAGCTGAATGCCGAGCTGGCAAGGAATTCTGTTAGGGAAAAATGAGAATATAAGAGAAAATGATAGGTAGAACATGGAAGGTATGAATTAAGTAGAAGGGTTAGGAAGGGCATAGAGGTTCAGAGTTGATAGCCCTATAGTGTTTTCTTTTCAATTTTAAGTTTCTGCATTCTCCAAATTGCTGTTTTTGCATTTCAATTTGTTGTCTTTGTGTTGCTGTTAGGAGCCAGTCTCCAATGTTTTTTTCATTAATAGAAATATAAGTTCCATCACAAACATTACTATTTACCTCTTTTCATAAGCGATTGTGTTAAGCTACATTCCCACAAGTATAATAACTTCAAAAATAGTCTACTTCGAGAAATGACTCAGAACATGTAATTTTTTTTTTTTTTTGTAAATAGAACATGTAATTTTTTGGTTTTCCTTATTTAAAGAAAAGGTCAAGGGAACCAGAGAAAGGCAAAACAGTTTTAAATTTTAAAAGTAAAAGTATCTTGAGTCATGCATTCAATAGTGTGGAAATTAAGGCAACTTATTTTAAAAACCAATCTTCATTTATGGACAACCAATGGTTGCACGAAGGACAGGTCATTTGAGTGGGTCCCAAATACATCTTCCTACTATATTCAATGACCATAGATTCCTTGTGGAATAAGAAATCCATACCATCAATCACAGCCGTGACTCCATATCGCACAATCATGATTCCCACCATATTAATTAACACCTCAATTCTAAATTATTTTTCAAAACCCATTTCTGGTATTGAAAATTAGAGAAATCCATGGCATCAAAAACAGCTGTGCTGTGGTTCCACATTGCATAATATTAATTAATGGCAATCATAATAATTAGAAAATCTTTTTCAAAAGTGATTTCAACCACAAAAATAAAATAAAAAATAAAAAAAAATGAGTACCACACAAAGTAAAAGAGTTGAAATTCAACTAACCTGCCACTCTTGAAATCCTTGCGTGCTTTCTGGGTTCAATTTTTTGATGGCAACAACCATCCCAGAGCCTGCTCTTGCAGGTGTGAGAGTCTTCTCATCTAACCAACCCTTGTAAACTTTGCCAAAACCACCTTCACCAAGCAATGTATCAGATTTGAAACTCTTTGTTGCAGATTTCAAGTCCCCAAAACTGAACACCTTCAAGTTTGGCCTTTCAAGAATCTGGCCACCTGGGGAAGGAAGAGGAACAGATCCATCGCCGTCAAAGCTTCCACTTGTAATCTCCGAAAATTGACTCTTCTCGGCGCTGCTTGTCGTGGCAGTGGTTGCAGAGGACCCCACGTTCTTGCTGTCAGTGCTCGCTGAACCTACAAACAGTGAAACCCATCAACAGTTACGGAAAATTCAGGGGGGGGAAAAAACTTCGACCCAGTAGAATTAGAGCAAAACGGGAACGACCCATGTTGAATTTTGGAGTGAATTATGAAGGTGAAGTACGGGATTGTGGAAAAGTTGAAGACTTGCCTGAATACTGAGGGCGGTTGAGGGAAGAAGTGTTTAGTTCAGAGCGAGAGGGAGAAGAAAAGCAGAGACCCATGTGAACCTCTGTTCCTTGTGTTGCTTTGCTTGGCACTTGGCCAATGAAACTGGAGAAGAAACAATGGTTATTTTGATGGTTGAACGAGTAAGAGAAGACTGTTAGAGAGAGAGAGAGACGGAGACAGAGAGAGAGAAGTCTTTGTCTGTTTAGTTATATTTTCTTGACCTGGTTTGATTTTCTGAGTTCAACATTATGTCTATTGTTTAGCTAATAACTTATAGGTTCATCCTCGTCTCATTTTATACGAGATAAATAATTTTTTTACACACATTAAAAGGAATTGGATTTTACTTTTTTTTTTTTCTCTCTTCTATTATCTATAAATCTCACTTGTAATTTTATTTCTACAATATAAAATAACTATTTTTCTACGACATAAAAAAAGTGTTTTCCTAACTTATATTTATAGCAACTTTAATGCTAAGAAAATTCATAGGACAACGTGACATATGTACAGAACTGAGCAAATAGGTAAGAAATGAGTTTTTTTATTGAGATAAAGATAAGAGATTACCTTAAAAAATATTCAACAACAACCAAAAAAAAGAAAGATGGAATTTGAAAAGGGCATAAAGATCCATCTAGTACTATTAAAAGAGTAAAGCTTAATGAGAGAGTTTATATAAGCGACAAAGAGAGAGTTTAAAAAGTAAAATAAAAGAGGGAAATATTTTTCATGAACTAAAGACATATTAAAAAGAACATTTACCATTTTTAATTAATTTTTTTTAACTACTTAAAGGGAAAAGGAGTAATACATGTCTTTCAATATATTAGATTATATTTTCCATTTATTAATTTTATAATTTTATTCTTTTTTTTAATCGATCGAAAGTTTAAATAGAGTTAAACACCGGTATTTTTTTTTATTTCCACTAATACGCTAAAGATGCTCATTAACCAATTTTTTTATTTTTTTTAGTTTTGTTATTTTTTTTTCAACTTTAAAATAAAAATGAAAATATATTTAATATATTGAAAGCATAAAAAGTATTCAATACTTTTATTTAAAAAATAAGAATAATATTAAAAGTAATTAAGAGGATTCCTAATTATTCTCTTTTACCATTTTAGCAAAGTGATATGTAGTCGCCCATGACAGAAAAAGCTAGAGAGAGAAAGATAAGAGAAGAAAGAGAGAGGGAGAAGAAAAAATTAAAAAAGGACCACCGAAAAATTTAGAGCTCCCGGCCATGTAGCTCCTTTAGGGCATATTTGTTTGTATTTTGATTTTTTTGTTTTTCAAATTGTTTTGTAGAATAATTATAGAAACAGTTGTTTTCTATGTTTTTTTTATTTTAAAAGTTAAAAATCAAAACAGAAAACAAAAACAACTCAGACTTGTTCTCTAAATTTGATTCTAAAAACAAAAAAATAGTTACAGTTTTTTAAACTTTTTTTACAAAACAGGCCTTATCAAACGAGTTTTTTTGTTTTTTTATTCTGAAAACTAAAAAAAAACTGTTTCTAAAAACAGTAATCAATCAGAGCCAAATTTCCGATACAAAGATGTGTTTTCAGTGCTAAAATAGAACACTCAAGTGATGAGAATTTCTTTTTTTTTTTAGAAACCGATCCTAATTACTTTTTTGAGGCGAATCAGAACCCTGGTATCCTCACGGGTTCGACTCTTTGAACTGTCTATGGGACTAATCCAGAATTCCCTGGTATCCCCACGGATTCGACTCTTTGAGTTGTCTATGGGACTAATCCAGAGTTCGGGTGCGAGTCTAAGAATTACGATACTTATGTCCCTCCCCAGATGGTGTTGGTGGGATTCGAATCGAGGTTCTCTCCCTCCATTCAGTTCTCATGCTACCAACTGAACCACTACACTTGGGTTAGTGATGAGAATTTCTTGTAATAATAATATTATTTATTATTATTATAATAAATGCAACAAGTCAGATGTAAAACAGAACAACTATCTTACAACTCATTGTTCGGCCACTATTATAACACCGGCCACATTACAAGTCAACGACCGCGTAAGGAGAGTTTTGGTCGTACATACCTCCCCTTCAAATAACTATTGCGTGCGTGCTTTCCAAGAAGGATACATGAAATTGGGGCATATTAACCGATGTAGATAGAATTTAAAATAAAAATAAAATAAAATGTTTCGACTACACTCATATGGAATGCGATGGAAAGGCGTTGCACTGATCGAAGACGAAGACGTCAGAGGCTTAGGCCTATTTTGAAGGACGAGACACTCGGGAGCATTTATTGTGGATATGATAAAAGAAGAAAAAAGTATAAGAATCGTAGGGCCTGCTTGTTAACTGTTTTGTAAAACAGTTTTTTGTTTTTAAAAACAAAAAAATAAAAAAATTTGATTGAAGAGACTGTTTTTATTTATCGTGTTTAAAAATCATTTTTTTTTTTTGATTTTAGAAACAGAAAAAGCAAAACAACTCCAGGGTGTTTTCCAAAGTTGTTTTCTGCTTTTTTGTAAAGTGCGGTGGCATTTTCGTAAAAGAGGATTCATTAATGGCATTTTCATAATTAGATCGATTTTTATTTTATTTTACATTATTTTGCGGTGAAAATTTTATAAATACGATGATTCATTAATGGTATTTTTATAAATAACTACATCTTCCTTATAACTTTAAAACTAACCATATTCAAACAAGTTTTATTGTTTTTTTACTCTCAAAATCAGTTTTCAAACTTCATTCTCAAATCAGGTTTTAAAAACAAAAAAACAAAAACACATTCAAACACACTCATAATTTTCATGAATATATTGAGAAATTAAATTTTTAAAAATATTACTAAAAAATTATTTGGTAGTCAAAATGTTATCAGAAATATTGGTTCAAATTTTTTGATTCTATGTTTGATTGATTGTCAAATATTACTGAGAATGTGAAATAATTTTACAAAATTATACCCTATAATTCTATGTTTATTTTTTTATTTTTGGTTTTTGTTTCTGGTAGTGATTCTGAGACTTCTTTAATTTGTTTGAACAGGTTGCGACCATATATAAGGACAGGCAACACGAGATTGTGAAGGAAGATATTCACATAGTGCGTGAGAATTTGGAGTGGAAATCGACAGTAAAGCATGCTTCCGCTTAAATGGACGATGAGGTTTAGAGCTGGAGTCAGAGCAACCAGACCTCAGCTTGTAGGTGTGAGCTTCAGACTCCTCACTATGACACCGTCGGATCCACCATCGTTGTTGCCGCCATCACCCCCTACAAGCTTGTCGTCTCCAACAGCGGCGACTCCTGCGTCGTCCTCTGCCATAACGGCGTAGCCATCCCCCTCTCCTCGGAGTACAAGGTCACTTTCTCGAGAAACAAAACAAGAAGGTTATTTTTGTCCGAAAAAATTTGGGAAATTTTCCCACCTGGTGGGAATCCAAGAATACCACCCATCCGGTGGTATTCTTCCATGAGATTTTGCTTCACAAAGATAAATCCAGGGAATCTAATTTTCCCCAAAAAAAAATTCACAATCCTTACATTGAACGTTGGTAAATATGATTTTCAATGTCAGTTTTCCGGGAATCTAAAATTTACCCACGTACTAAACACCCCCATGGTGTTTTGGTAGTATTTATCAATGTTATTAAACTCGGCCCAGTTATTGACTCGGTCGAGGTACTGGGTTACTGGTTCAACTAGTGGGTCACTGATTGAACCGCATGACCTAGTGAGTATATGAAAATCTATAATTTATATTAAACAATTTATAAACATACTTACGTACCCAGTTCCAAATATTCTAACTTTAGTAGCAATGAATATCATGTTTTGTATTCCAAATATATATAAACTCTTCAAATACAATTTGACATAATAAACTCTTCAAAAGCACTGTGGCTTATCAAACTACTCATTTCACTTTTCAAGACAATATAATAAATGCAATCTAATACATTTCACTTTCCAAGACGATATAATAAATGCAAACTCATCATATTCTCATGCTTCATTTTTATCACGCGTCTGTTTATCTACTCCTCTTCTTCTTGACTATAGTTGCCAATGTAGCCATGGCCTCAACAAGTTCAAGCATCATTATCGTCTATTCTGATATCATCCACACTCACATTCTCCCCGCCTCATCACTGCAATGCTCGTCTCCGCCGCCTCTGCACCGACCAGGGTCTTTGGTGAGACATCTGTATCGCCATATATCCTTCCATGGTTTGCTAGCCAAGTCATCTTCACCATCCCCAGCGGCCACCATTCTATTTTCTCCTACGCTTTCTATAATGCCCCACATAATTAAATTACACTAATTTGAAGTTAAAGTTAAATTAGATGGTTAATCAGGTAAAAATCCTGAATTTTAGGTAAAATCCCAACCAAGGAAGGGTAAAACGATAATTTGACAAAAATTGCCTGGTGTTGGGCCAATTCTATAAAATACCCTCCATGTAAGCCTATAAAATTATGAAATCAATTAGAATGAGGATAATAATTAAATGAAAAATCTGATTATACGAATAAAGTTACTTTTCGAAAAAAAGTACGATTAATCGGGTAAAAATGCAATTGTATGAAAGTTACTAAAACTTTAAAATACTATAGTGTGCTACTATTAAATAATTTTAGTGAATGTTAAAATCCATGATACAAGATCAAATTCATAGGTTGTGAGTTACACACACATTAGTAAAATGTTAAGTTATGGCTAGTTAAAATAGTACATAAAGAAAAGGTAAATGAAAAAGTTATCAAGTAATAAGGTGTTGACCAAGTCAACTAATGTTTTAGTCACTTAAGCCAACATCAACCTTCTCTTTCCTATTTTCATGCTCCAACATTATAGAAAGAGAAAAGCTTGCAAAAATCATAACTTCAGCTAGAGGCCATGAAATTGAGCGAGTCCAAAGCCAAAATCACTTACTTAGAATCTCGTCCTCTACAAAACATATAGCCTATTTTTGTGAAGAGCATCATAAAGAGAGATATCCCCATATTACAGCCATAAAAATTTGGGAGTTTGAGGGAGTTTGAACTCATCAAAGCTTGGGTAATCTTCTACCAAGAACTCTAGGAGGATTTGTGATAAATTTTCAACACTCATCTCAAATTTGCATGGATTATATGAAATGTTAAGTTTTGTGAATAGTGTTACACGAAAATTGATTGGTTGGATGTGTTGAAGGTTGTTTTATATATGTG